ATAACTCTCGAATTAGTATACCTTATTCCAATTTTTTCTGAAACTTTTAAATTAACATTGAAAAAATTTTGAAAAACATATTCTCATTCTGCTTTACCATTATTCAATGCAATTCAATGTTTTAACTCAATTTATTCAATCATCTCAAAATAGACATATTTTAACTAATTATAATCTGATTCCAGAATTTCAAAATTCTTCTAATTCTATTATAACTGAATGGGCAATTTATTGTGGTTTGGTAGAAATTTTTGAGGAGGGCGATTTGAATTTAAATCAATATTGGCAAGAAAAAAAAAGAATTTTTCAAAATTATCAAGTATTGCATTAGTTTACATATGGTTAGAGTTGATGTTGAACGTAGTTTTTTTCTAATTATAAAGAATTTTAGATTATAGACATAGATCACTTTCAATAAATTAATAAAGTATATTTTTTACTATATAAAAAATTTTTATTTATTTTTGGCACTGCACGAAACCGTTAAATTGTGCTCTCTAAAAAAATCATGTGCAAATCACGTGAAACGAAATTTTGTTTGAAATTAAAAAATTTTTTTATGTTGATATTGTTGATCATGACAAACAGAACAGCTCAGGACCTTTCAGAGAAAAAGAAAAATGCAAAAAATGCAGCTTCTGTTGCGGCGCCAACTGCCTTTGCGAGATCCTTTATATTACAAGGTCTTGCCTTATTTTATAGGACTCCGATAAAAGTAAATCAATCAATATTTAATACGCTTTCCTCCTCAAGAGTAATTTATATAATTTTTTTTTAATTATTACCAACTTTTAGTTATTTAGGCCACTTAGAGTTGATTATTTACTAATGGCCCGAGCAATTATGCCACCAATTCAAGATAAAAAATTTTCATTTCATTCAACAAGTCTCGGCATGCTAACACATGCAGTTAAGCAACATGGTGTATGTATACTATTAATTAGTCCAAGTCAAATTCAGCAAATAATACAATTTTTTCGATCTGAAAAATTTTACTTCATCTTTATAAATAATTTAGGAAGGACAATTAACAAAAATTTCCGACGTTATTATATTCATGATGTTCGTTTTTTCTAGTTTATATTTATCCCACGTCATATCATACCACCATTGGTAGCAAATTCAATGATAGGCGCAGTATTATTTACAACATATATTACAGTTCTATCGCATTTCCATGGAACTTCTTCATTTCTCGAATCAAAATATAATCATAGTTTACATAAACCACCCCCGTTTTCGGCTGTATTTATTTCTGGAGCCATTGCAGGAGCTGCACAGTCTATAGTTGCTGCACCATTAGACTCTTTAAAGGTTAGATTTGAAGTAAACGATTTACTGGAGGGAAAACATAAGAGTATGTTTGATTTTGCTAGAAATACTTGGAAGGAATTGGGAATTGCAAGTATTTATCGCGGAATTGGATTGACATTGGCTAAGGTTTGTTGGAACGATTCTTTTTGATTGTTCTCATATAATAATAATAATTTTTTTTCCAATGTCGTCAATTCCATAGGATTCAATTTCTTGTGGATTGTTTTTTGGAGTTTTTGAATTTGTTAAACAGCAATGCTATAATTCATTTGTCAAAGAAATGGATGATCTTCACGAAAATCCAAAATTTCATTTTTCAAAAAAATCTCATTTTGTTGAACCAGCTTTTGTATTGGCAGCTGGTGGAATGGCAGCAATATCATATCATTTCGTTGATTATCCATTAGATAGGATTAGAAATATATTTCTTATAGAAGAAGCTCAATCTGAATATCAACATGAACAAAGGCCACGTTTATATAAAGACACATGGCAACAATGTAAGTTGAGAATTAAGAGAAAAGGAGTGATCAGATTTTTGTATGGTGATTTTGGTGCTACAATTTTGAGAGCTGTTCCCGCTACTAGCATTGGTTTCTTGGTTTTTGAATTAATGAAAGATAAAATTAATCAGGAATTGTACGATGAAAATATATTAACGTAATTAATTGATTTTTGATTAATAAATTTGATTAATCAACAACTATAACGTTTATGTCAAGTTTTCACGTGTTTAAGCTAATTTCGAGGCACAATTTTTTTTGAATTGTATGACAATTAGTTTATGTTGATCAAAGACTTTGCGTTACAGTAGAACATAAAATTTTTTCTTCGAATTAAAAAAAAAAAAAATGCTGTTTCGTACAGGAAAAATTATACCTTCTTTAAGTTTTTGCTTTAATATTCAACAAAATGTTCATCGTTCAACATTTCCTTCAATAAGAAATTATGCGTTAGACACTCGACATTATAAAAATAAACTTGAATCTTATAAAAGTTCGTTATTTCAAAGAACATATCGAAAGCGCGTAACGCCTTCAATTTGGAAACCTGTTTTATTTGCAATAATCGCTTCAGGTTCGACATTTACTATAGCAACCCATATTTCTGCTGAAAAAATACAAGCTCGACGTAGAAATATGTATCATTTTTATAATAACAATGATCCAAATGCTGGGGATATGGTGACTTACAGAGAACCATGGATCAAAGGAATATTTCATCGATCAATTCAAAAAATTGAAAATTCTCAATTATTTAGAGACTTGCACAGAAATTGGGCATTTATGATTAAACGATGGAATTCGTTGAGTGATAGTACAAAGACTGTAGCATTTTTAATTGGAATAAACACAATCATCTTTGGAATGTGGCAAATTCCACCCTTACGAATAATTATGAACAGATATTTTGTTCATAATCCGCTTTCTGGACGGTCATTTACATTGTTAACTTCAGTATTTAGTCATGAAGCTTTTTGGCATTATGGTTTTAATATGTTGGCACTTTATTCTTTTGGAGATTTGATTTATCACATTTTTGGTAAAGAACAATTTCTTGCGTTCTACCTCTCTTCTGGAATGATCGCATCTTGTATGAGTCATGTCTTTTCCTTAAGTTTCAAAGGTTATCAAAACATAATGCCATCTTTAGGAGCTTCTGGTGCCATTTTTGCGTGCCTCTCTGCCTGTGCAATTCAATATCCCGATGCTTCTGTATACTTGATATTTTTACCATTTTTCCCTATTAAGATCAGTTATGCGCTTCCCACTATTATGGCATTTGATTTATGGGGAATCTTTTCTGGGATGACAATGTTCGATCATGTTGTGAGTATTTAAATATGAAATTCGATCAAATATTTTTTTGTTTTTTTTTGTTTTTTTTTGTTTTAATATAATTTATATTTCATAAATTTCAATTTAATATTAGGCTCATTTAGCGGGCGCTATCTTTGGTCTAATTTATACAAAATTTGGACAGGAACAATATTGGAAAGCGGTTAAACAGATATAATCCATAATAATGATTCATTCAGTTAAATCGCAAAAATTTTGACTTTCTTTGGATTTAATTGTATTATATAGATGTATAACAGCAAGGAAGAAGAAAAACAAAATATAGTCACAATACATTCAATTCCATCACTTCGATAATAAATTTTATTATTACAATTTCTCCTCTTTTGTATAAATTATTTTGTTTTTTTTCTGATTGAAATAAAAATAGTTACAATGATAAAAATATCACTTGGAACTTCTTTACATAAATTTCATAAAGCCATTTGTCATTACAATATAATGACCTCAGCTTTATTATCATCCTTATTATGAAATTTATAAACCTTTATTAATTATCATAATAAAATTAAAAAATTAAATTGTGAGGGAATTGACCTTTTGTAAGTGAAAATCTGGCGCGTAAATAATCTTGAATATGTGGAATCTTTTTCAAACTAGCACAGAGTTGTTTATCAAGTTCGATTTGAGCGTCAACTTTTTCTTTCGGAATTACTTTCTTTTGCTAAACAAAAGATTATTTTGTTGAATAGTATTATATAATTTTTAAACATTGCGAGAATATTATACTATTCTTACCTCTTTACCTTCATCAAAGAATTCTTCTTCAGTACCTTTTTTACTAGGTTTCTTTTCTCTTTTGAAATATGAATCGTCAAATTTGTCAAGCTTTAAAAATAATTTATCAATAAGATGTTAATTACATGAATGTAGATATTATTTTAATTTTTAATTGATTTTTATCCTTACCGAACAAGTAGAAATGTCAATCTTTGTAGAGGTAGCAATGACATAAGATTGATTGACGCGCTTAATTGGAACACCATTAACCTTAAATGGACCGGTTACCAACAATAAACCACTTTTGAGCTGTTTTAAAAAGACAACACGCCTTCCATTATATCGACCGGCCAATAAGATAAGAACTGTGCCGGGAGTAATAGAAGAACGAAGTTTGGTCGTTTTGTGAACTTTTCGCGATTTCTTTGGTCGAGGAACATCTTCTGCTGGATAAAATCGTGGAGCTTTTTCTAATGGAACAACACGTTCTCCACCATTTTTATCTCCTTTAATTGGGACTGTTTTGGTAGTCTTGACTTCGGGTACGGCCTTAGGAATTTTATCCTTCTTGCGTTTGAATAAGGCCTTTTTGGCAAAAATTTTGCTACGAGAGTAACGTGGAATTCCAGGAACAAGAAATCTATTGCGTGGTACGCGTGCCATTTTTTACCACTATAAAATGAGAAATTCAATTAATAATAGGATAATTCCTCTTTTTTCGATAAATTATAAATTTAAACTACAAAAAAAAAATTTTTTTTTTAATTCTATCAAAATAAATTCCAAATCATAGATTGATCAACAAAAGCTTTGTTATTTGAAAATTTGAAGAGTATAATCAAATATCGGATATATGAATTCTCATCGATATCACTTAAGTAACCTTCTCTATCTCTTAACAACTATAATAAGAATCTTACCAAGACAAGCGAAGTCTCGGTGGATGGAATAAAAGAGGAAGAAAAATATTGATTGAAGTATTAAATTTATATAATAATCTCATCGTATCACTAACAACTAAATTTAATTGGCTGATCTTTTTTTTTTTTTTTTAAGTACGTTTAAATTTTTTTGATAACCTTCAATAGTAAACTTGATTCTGATATAATGGCGGCAACTTATGACTTGACACCTAATTTGATTCCGTACTTGGATAGACATCTTGTCTTTCCATTGTTGGAATTTTTGTCTATGCGCAAGGTTTAAGGTCTTTGTAATTTCTGCGGAATATATTTTCGTTGTAATAGATGTAATGCTAATTTCGTTTACTTTAGATCTACCCGGAAATTGATCTACTGAAAGCTAAATATGAATTATTGGCTAAAACTAATATGGTTGATTTTATTTCAATATTGTATAAAACAATCCATGACACCGAAGAAGTTCCGTCAGGTATCATTAAGAATTGACGCGTAATTTTGCGAATCATGCAATGATCGATCATTAACCCAATCATATCAATTTGCGTCTAGAATTCACTACCAAAAGAAATGAAGTTCTTCAGAATTTAGAGAATCTTCAAACAGAGGCTCAGAGGGTCTTGGACCTTATAGAAAATCCAGAGGTCATTGCTGCTCTTCGACAAGATAAACTTCAAAATCTTAATTTTCTCAAAGAAAAATACGGAGTATGTATCATTATTTTTAGAATTTAATTTTTTGATTTTATTGAAATTTGCTTTTGAATTTGTTTTTCTTTTTTTTTTTTTTGATAGCTTACGGATGAAATGGTTAACTCCCTATATCAATTTGGCCAATTCCAATATAACTGTGGTAACTATGAGGGTGCTTCTGATATGTTGTACCATTTCCGTGTGTTGGTTAGTAGATTGAGTCGATTATATTTTGGCAATGATTATTCGAGGAAAGAATTTAGGATTAAAATATTTTAAAATATTTTATTCCCGTTTAGTCAACAGATCACGAATTAAATATTTCGGCATTATGGGGGAAACTAGCCTCCGATATTTTGGATTCTAATTGGGAAGCTGCTTTGGAAGAAGTTCATAAACTTAAAGAAATCATTGATCAAAGGGTAATTAATTAACGTGTGATGGTTTAACGTAATCATGTGATAAATTATTTTTTTTTAATTAAATCTTTCAAACATTTTATAGAATTTCGCGTCTCCTTTGCATCAATTACAGCAACGCACTTGGTTTATTCATTGGTCGATATTTGTATTCTTTAATCATCCAAAAGGACGCGATAATATTATTGATTTATTTCTCTCTCCTTCATATATTAATACCATCCAAACTGCATGTCCATGGATTCTTCGCTATCTTACAACTGCCGTTGTAACAAACAAACGTCGAAAAAACATTTTAAAAGATCTAGTTAAAATTATTCAACAGGAAAGTTATGAATACAGGGATCCCATCACTGAATTTATCGAAAGTTTATATGTAAAATTTGATTTTGAGGGAGCCCAACGTAAATTAAAAGAATGCGAAGAAGTTCTTAGTAATGACTTTTTCCTAGTAGCTACATTACAGGAATTTGTAGAGAATGCTCGTCACTTAATTTCTGAGACATATTGTCGGATACATTTGAAGATTGATATTAGGTATGAAACATTATTAATCATTTATATCTTCTTAAACTTACTAATTTGTTAATTGCGTAAATTGTAGCGGATTATCACAAACTCTTAATTTGGATCAAGAGGCAGGTGAAAAATGGATAGTCAATTTGATTCGAGATACACGTGTAGACGCAAAGATTGATTTTAAAGAGGTATGTCTCGGTCTATAAACATGATATACACTTTTAATAAATTATTCTGATAATAAAATCCTCGTTTTTTATAGAATACTGTTATTATGAATCAAAATCATACATCTATTTATCAACAAGTTATTGAACGTACAAAAGGTTTATCATTTCGTTCTCAAGTATTAGCTTCTACTATTGAAAAACGTGAAGCACATCAAAATTCTAATGCTGCAGAAGCTACAGAATAATAATAATAAATATATATTTAAAAATAATTATCATTTTATAATTTTCTTAAATCTCGAATATAAAAAAAAAAAACCTTTCAAATTAGACTAATTTTGCTAATTTTATATTTTGTAAATTTTATAAATTTTCTCTCTGATTATGATAGATCGAGATCTAATAATTTTTTGGACTGTTAATTACATATATATTACTTATACATTAATAACTCTTGATAATTTTTGAATACGAGTCAATAAAATATCTCCTTGTTTGATGCTTTGTTGATATTGCGCATTCTTAGCATCCGGTCTATTTGTCTCAACGATTCCATTCACTTTATCAATTACACAGTTGAGACGTCCAGCGGCTATGAACTTTGATACATCACTATCAAAGAAAAAAAAACGTTTAGTTCACTTTATTTTTATTTTAAAAAAAATTTTATTACTTACTTGTCGATGAATTCCTCCGAAACACCAAATGAATTTGCCATACTATCCATAGTAAGTGAACGATATGACTCCAAAAGCTGCGCATATGCAATGATTCTCATTTCTCGAACATAATATCTAACATGTGAGAATAAGTACCTTGAAACGCGCAAGTGATCTAATTCGATATCCGCTAAAATCAAAGGTATCAACATAAGTCTCAATATAATTAATCATCTTACTTTTTGAAATTATCTAAAGTTGAAATTACCAAGTGCTCGGAAGAATTTTGCATAATCGCAATTGTAAAGTGAGGTAATATAATCTTCCAAGTGCGAAATTTCGTGTAAGACTTCTAATACCTCTGGCGCATCAATTACCTATAAATTCAGCAAATAACCAAAAAAAAAAAAATTTAGATAAATAAATAAATACGAAAAAAAAAGCCAATAAAAATTCTATAACCTTCTTTTTCAAATCAACTCGGCTCAAGGAAATCGCGCCAGCTAAAACAGCATATTTAACAAAATCTTTATACTCCATCAATTCCGTAGACATGAACGTCGATAAAGTATCCAGGAACAAATTTGCAGCTGTTTTAAAATCGCGTATGGATAACCTGTAAATGGCTTCATACACCTTAAGTCGATTACGCCGATCCCAGTCGCCACCTTCTTCTATTAAACTAGAAGTGAATTGGAATTGGAATTGGAATTGAAATATTAATAATCATTATGATAAGTTAGATAAAATATCAAAAAATATAAATACCTCTTGGTCCTTTCGATATTACGACTGATCAAATCATTGTCATTAAAAAAGAATCCGATCCTTACAAAACAAAAAATTATATCAATTCGTGAACCTAATCCCGCTGTTTTATCTAATGCGATACGATATGCTGTAATAGCTTTTTCCTACAAACAAAATTTGTGATGTATATAAGAATTAATTAAAATAAGAAGCTAAAATAAAAAATTGTTTTACCTTGTCTCCAATTTTTGCAAAGAATTCAGCCTTAGCTAATAAAGCATCGCTAATTTCTGTCTCGCCTAAATTGTTTTCAGCATCTTCAAGTTTTTCATCCAATTTCTTCAACTCTTCTTTATTATTTTCCTGGTATTTTGCAAACAAAGATTTATCAAATGGAATCTTGAGTTCTTCGGTAATCAATTGGTAAAATGGTGCCATATCTATAATTCGAAAACAAAAAAATTAAGTTATTATACTGTATGATCATAAATGGAATTTAAAAACGAAGTACATGGAAACGCGATAAAATTTTTCTTTCAGAGTAGATTTGCGAATAACATTAATAGTACCTAAGTCACTTACTATTCTCCTCAATAGCATTAAATAAATTAGTTCTCGCTTCATCATGTAATTCCGAGGTTTTTGGATTGTTTAAAATAAATCTATAATTCGCAAGATCTAAATTAGGAATCTTTGGAAAAGCATTTTCAGACATTTTAACAAAAAAAAATTTGAAAAGAATTGAAACTAAAACTTCCAAACGAGTTGAATTCGGTATTTTATATGATTATGCAAGCATACGCAATCTACAATTTCGTAAGCGTGTAACGCAGATGAGATTAACCAATCAGCGTTAATAACCCGAAAAAAATTTTTTGATAAAAAAAAATTTTCGATTATTCCAAAAGGTTAAAATGAACGATTATATTTTAAATTTTGGAGAAATCAATCAAAAATTTGTTGAATGGTTTTGTAGCAATGGAGGAAAGATATCACCAAAAATTGCTTTCAAAGACTATTCTTCAGAAAATTCAGGTCGAGGAGTTGTTGCAGTTGACGATATACAGGTACTTTTTTTATCTTCGCTTAAAGATAAATTTTAAATTTCTTAATTATAAATTATAATTCATTTAATAGCCATTTGAAGTGTTGTTCAGTATTCCACATTCTATAATTCTCTCTGAAAAAACGTCATCGTTAAAAGATTTAATACCAAGTGATGAATTTGAAAAGCTTGGTAAAATAAATTCATGGTTTCCACTCATATTGTGTATGATGTACGAAAGTCAAAAGGAAGATTCTTTATGGAAACCTTATTTTGATATTTTACCTCGAGAATTTGATACACCAATGTTTTGGAATGAAGAACAACTTGCAGAATTAGAAGGAACAAGCGTCATTGGTAAGTAGCTTAAATTACCATCACTTAAACAGTTTAAATACAACATATATTTGGTTATACGTTTGTTAAATTAGATAAAATTGGAAGAGTTGAGGCGGAAATCCAATTTAATGAACACTTATTACCAATAATTCAGGTAAAAAGTTTCTTCCCGGGGTTACCTAATGTGAAAACAATTTGTAACTTATTTTAACTAGTTTAATAGTCAATCCCCTCAATTTTCGATTCGAATAAACACAATTTGGAATTGTTCCATTGCATGGGATCTCTTGTAATGGCAAATGCATTCCAAAATAAAATTAAAAAAGATGATGCAGAAAATAATGATGAGGTGGATGAAGATGAAGAAATTACAATGATGCCAATGGCTGATATGTTAAATCATAAAACCGGGTTTAATAATGTTTGTATGCTTCAGTAAATATTTCTGACTGTCAATATAACGATATTTTTATTTATTTATTATTTTTATTATTATTAGGCTCGATTATATCACGAAAATGAGTTATTAGAAATGACTGCGATCAAGAAAATAACAAAGGGGGAACAAATTGTAATGATTCATAATTTATTCATTGAATATATTTCAACTTCTTTCTAATATACTTTTTTCATTATCAAGTATAATACTTATGGGGAATTGTGTTCTGCAGGTAAATTATAAAGAAAATATATTGATATTACGATTTTTATCATGCTAATAAAAAATTTGGTTTTAAATAGATTTATTACGCAAGTATGGATTTGTTGATGAGAATAATATACATGATATAGTGGAATTAAATGGACAATTTGTGGTTGACACACTATCTATCGACGAGGATACAAAGGACAAAAAGGCATTTAAACTTAATGTAACCACTATTGATTTCCTTCTGGTTGGCTGTCTTGATGCTGACAATTTATGTGATATTAGATCGAGATGCTGCTGGAAGAAGATATTCTTAATGAGTATGTTTAAATCATTGTAATCGATTTTTCATTTTTACACTAAATCGTTTATCCTATAAATAATTTTTATTCAGTATACTTATTTTGGATACTACAAAGGAAATACCACCTGAGCTAATCATAATAGGTATCTTGAGTTTTCAACCAACTTTTATTATCTTGATTATATTTAATTTTTGTTTTCATCGATCAAAAAAGCCAAAATCATGACAATGGATAAGGCCCAATTTAAGAAGTTTCGAAAAACGAATAATTTTCCTGAACCTAAAATGAACCTTGATATCAAAACACGATTAATTCAGCTATTTGAAAAACGATTATCAATGTACAAAACCTCAATTAAGGTGAGATTATCATTCTTCTAGGGAAATTACAGAAAATTTATTGCAGTAACACCGAAATATATTGTTTTATTGTAGGATGATGATGAAATTTTGAAATCAAATAATATTTCGTTGAAATTAAAATATACTATTATTATGAGATTAAGTGAAAAACGAATATTACATGGTTTATTAGATAATCTTAATAATTGGAACGATGATGAAAATAAAGAAGAAATTCAGAGAAAAAAAAGAAAAATAAAATAAATTTGTAAATTGATTTTGCCAATTTCACATGACAATCTGATAATTGTATATCAGTTTATAATGTATATTTTTTTATTAATTTTGTAAAATATCAATAATATTAAAAAAAGAGATTAGTAATCATAAAATATGATAAAGAATTACACCATTATTGACTTTACTTTGAAATTTTAAATAAATATAAAAAAAGCAATTTAACAAATAAACTTTGTATTTAAAGTTACTTAATATAAAAAAATATTATTAATAATATTTTTATTTTAATTTATAATATTATAAGATCTACAGCAACTTTTATATATATATTATTTAAATTTTTATTTTTAAATTGATCAATATTAAATATTTATATAAAAGTTTTAAATACAGTTTTTTAAACTTTAAGATTCTAAATCACATTTATCAAATATTATATTTTATATATCATATTAACTTCTTAAAAATAGAATATTAAACATTTTGAATCATTAAATTTTTAGTAACAGTTTTAAAAAATTATTATATATATAAATCCAAAATAAAGAAATTAAAAAATTAATAAATTTATTAATTTTAATATTACTTTATTATTTTAAAAAGTATTTTGTAATTAAATATTAAAATCAAAAGTAAAAGATATTTAAACTTATATTAAAGAAAATTCAAAAGATAATCCAATTAAATTTATCAGTAATTATTAGTAATTATCAGCGGTTAAATAAATATTACTAATATATTTCTTAAAAATTTTAAAGTATTTTATTAATTTTCTGATTATTATCAAATAGTATCAGTATTATTAGTAAAAAAAATTTTTAAAAATTTATTATTTATTTTGAGAAAAATATATATAATATATATATATATTATATTTATACTTATATCTATCTACTAATTCACTTCATTTATTATTAATAAAAAATTTTTTATTCTTAAAAATAATTTTTTTAAATATAGTATTTACTATATATAAAATTTAATTTAAGTATGTTAAGATAAAGCTTTAAGATCCTTAATCAAAAGTATATATATTATAGAAAATTTTTTTTTTTTTATATAATAATTCAACTATTGATACCATTAATACTACTAAAAATAAATAAGAAGTAATAAAAATAACTTAAAATAATATTGATTATATTAATAATTAAAAAATTAAAATTTTAATAATTACTAATATAATAAATTTTTTTAAAAAATGGAAAATATCAATAAGATAATATTTAATATTTAAGTTTAATCTGAAATTATATTTAACAGAGTAAATTGATTTGATCTGAATTTAGAAAATTATTTGATTATCTTTAGTCTTATAATAATACTAACCTAATATAAATTTGTTAGAAAAATTGACTTATATATATTTAAATAAAATTATAATATGAAAAATTTTATAATTATTAAATATAATACAATTTATTCACTTTCAAAAAAATAATTTTTTTTGATATAATTAATTTCACTTTTTTATAAATTAAATAGTTAAAAAAAAAATTAATTAAAAAAATAATGAAAAATAAACTAATATAATTTAAGAAATATTGTGAACTTTAAGAAATTTTGCAAATAGAAATAAATTTTTAAAAGATTTTATATTCTAATACTTTTAAATTACAATTTTAATTAGAAGATAAAATCAAAACTTAAAATCATCATTATAAAAAGAAATATTAATAATATTTTTAAAATAAAATATTAAAAATTCTTTTATCAATTACTAAAATATAAAAATACACTAATATTAATAATATCTTAAAATAAAATAAATCATCTTATAACTTACTATTTTATCAGAAATAAAATTCAAAATTATTATTAAAAAAAATAAAAAAAAAAATCCATCTTATCAAAATCCAAAAATACTATTAAAAAAAAAAAAAAAAAAAATTATTAATAATATTCAAATAAAAAAACCTCTTAATATTAAAATTGTCACTAAAAAATATTTATAAAAATTTATAAATATTATTAAAAAAAAATATTAATATTATATCTAAAATAAAAAACTTCTTAATCTTTAATCATATTATAAATTTTTAATTACAAATTTAATATAACTAAGATTACTAGATGATATCTAAAGATATTACAAATCATCTAAATAGTAAAGGTAAAATTTAGCAAATTATATTAAAATTTTTTAAAAATCTGTAAAACTTTAAAAAAGATAAAACTATATTAAAGTTTATAAAAATGTGAAATTATATCAAAATCTTAATAAAAAATTTAGCAAAATTAAAGTTTAAATATTTTGTTAAATCTAAATGAGTTTAAACAAATAATTTTAAGTATATCTATTTAAAACTTTTATAATAAAAAGGAGAAAAACTGCTAAAAAAAAAATCAATTTTATTTTTATATATTAAATATGAAGCATAATGTAACAAAATCAGACAAAGTGAACATTTGATTATGTAATATAAATAAGAAGCTGATTATGATATGACTATAAAATTGATCAGTATAACTGATAATATTTTAAAAAGTAATAACATTATTCATTCTAACTTATGAACTTATTAATTTTAATATTCACTTTATCATATTAAAATGTAATAAATATAAACTATAACAGAAGCAATATAGGACTACCTTTATATAAAAAATATAATATAAAACTAATTTACATTAAGTCTATTATAGAATTAAAGAATTATAGCACTATTTGAAGTATTCTAAAAAAAACTTAAGGAGAGAAAATTACTTCCTATGTTTTTAAAATCAATGGTACTCAAATATTTTAAAAATATCTAGATAAAGAGAAAATTACTTATAAAATTTATTAAGAAGAAAGGAAAATAATAAATATTAAGAAAAGAAAGTAGGGTAACAATAAGCCATTACAAAATAATAGGCAAAATATCTAAATAAAAAAATTTAATATAATAAATGTATCATCTATTTTCAATTTAATAGGATTTCTAAACATAATATTAGAATATCAATTTCACTGTAATTTAAAAAGCTCTTTTGCTTTTAAATACTTATTTTGCTCACTCTTTTTTTTTGTAAAACTTTTTTATAAATCATAGTTTAAATAAAAATATTATGATAAAAAAAGAATGTTTTAATTGTAAAATACTAAAGAATGTTTAAATATTAATTGATAAGATAAAGAAGACAAAAAACATACTAAATTTTATTATTAAAAATGTACTGAAACTTTTATGTAACAAGAGTTAGATAACAACATTAATAAAAATTGAGAAAGAAATAAAATAAAGCTCTTTAACCAAACCTTACAAAAATGTAAAAAATAAAGAAAATTTTAAATTAGCCTTTTTAGTATAGAAGCATAAGACAATATGGTAGTAGCAAATGAGATAAAGTAATTATTTGGTATTTATAATGCAAAATAATTCTAAATTAGGATGTTATTACTTATGAAGATAGTAGAGAATACAAATAGGAGGCGGTTAATAGAAAAGAAGAAAATTTATAAATTTTGAGTAATTTTAGTTATTAAATTAGTTTTGTTCATATGACTATAATCACAGAGTAAACTAATAAAAAAATTTTTGATTAAAAGTGGATTTCCTCTTTTTTACTGATCACTCCCTAAATGTTTTCAATGTTGTAATTATTATAAATAAATTGCAAGAGGTAAACAAAATAAAAACTTTACTTGAAAAGATGATAAAACTCCTAGTTATATTTGCTTTAAAGTATTGAAAAAAATAAACTAGTTTATAATATTTGTGATAAAATAAAAACACTTAAAAGATGGTTACTTAAAAATCAAATTTGTGTAGAGAATAAGGTGAGTTTTGGTATAATTTTAAAATAAAATTCTAAAGATTATTCATCATTATATATCAAATATTATACTGATAACTTTAAAGATATAATTAGAGAAAAATATGCAGAAATTTGCCTACGCTTAGAGAAACTATTAATAAAATTGACAAGATATATAAATTAATAGGTTATAGAATTAGTACATCAATTACACAATTGGACACCTAAAACTCATCATATTTTTATCTGCAAGTAGCCTCTAAATACAAAGAAAAGTAAGTATATGAATCTCAAAAAATTCAGGACCTAAAGCAGCTTCTCCAAAAATAATTGAAGTAACAAATAAACTCTTCTAAATAATCAATAATAATAATATCATTGCAGAAAAGAGTAAAATTATTACCAGATCACACATTGAATTAGAAAATATAATTATCTCTACTAAAAGTTATTTGCTTAATGATATTAATACTATAGATCAAAAAACTTAAAACCAAATTGAAGAAGTCTATTAAAAACTTATACAAAAAATAGAATTTGCATCATTAACTAGTAGTTTTACTATTAAATGTAAACTTAAGAAAAAATTCACAAAAATTCTGAAAAAAAGAAGAATTTCCTTTAAGTTATAGTAAAGCTTATTCTATTTCTGAATTTTCAATATTGCTTCTTCCTAAGTTTATTATGAAAAAGTTTTGAAGATATTACAGATTTATAAAAAACAATTAATTTTGAGACATTATGGAAAATGAAAGAATAATTAAAAAAATAAGAGACTAAGAAGCTTATTATCAAAAATAGAATAAAGTTCTTTAGGTTTAATTAGAAAGCTGACCTGATAAAAATAAGAAAGAAAAGATTTATTGATGGTTGGCTATGAGTACTGTTATTTCTTTTAATTATTCTAGTTATTAAATTAATTAAAATTAAGAGAAATAAGAGTTAATTTTATAAATTTTTTTATTTAATTAAAGATTATTTAATTATATTAATATTGACTTAGGATAAATAATGTCTTTAAATTCATCTCTAACAAATAGGTAAATATAATGATAAAGGTATTCTTGTCTTTTGTAATTCAAAGGAGAAGGGGTTAATATTAAAATAAAAAAGATTTGATTTCTTTGATAATTTCAAAAATACTTGTTTTTCTAGTTTTAACAAATTAAATTTAGTAGAAGTACTATTAATAACCATTTAAACTTTGATAATTCTAGAATTAGCTGCTTCAAATAGAAAATGCTGATATTTTTGTAAACCATTCAATTTCTTAAAGAAAATCC